CATGTCGATATGTTATTGATATAACCGGTTCGTTCCTGTAACCCTACCAGTGGGGGTTAAACACTAGTAATTTCTGTCGCCTGCCAGTGGGTTGTTATAACACTGGCCATGACTCATAAATGAGACTACTGAACTGAGTTTTCTTCTGCATTAACGGTTTGTCAGGAAACGTTTTGCTATTGAACCGAATTTGATTTCCGCATTAACGGTTTAGTATTGAAAGTTTTGCTATGCTTACATGGTTTATCTGGCATGCTTAAAAGTTTTACCTAAGGGCTATCCATATTTATTTACTGAGTTATCTCATAGTTTTCCTTGTCCACCATTTCAGGAAGCGAAACCGAGGACGGGGAAAACCAAGGGAGTGACGAGTTAGAAGGCTAGCCATCTTGTAAAGTGAATATAGATTTGAGATGTAGATCGTGATCTTAAGAGTTAGAGTGTATGTGGAGATTTTTGATATCAGAGCAGACTGTAAAGATTTTATCTTGAGATTTTGTGGTATCAGATTGTGATTTGAATAAGTTCCGAGCTTAGTGCACTTGTGGGACCCGTCTCCCGAGTGTACAGCGTCTGTCGCGCCTCGAATTCGGGTTTTGGGGCGTGACAACCAAAATCCTTAAAAATTCCAGAGGAGCAAAGATGATACTCCCATGGATCTACCCAACTTGTATGAGTATCCACAAAGTAACTGCCCTGAAATATGATTGCATAAAATAGTTGTTGGAATTTAAATATTTTAATAAAAATAAAATAATATGTTTTATAAATAGAATTTATTGTCCCATTGAGAACTTAATCAAACAAGTCATTATAGATTAATTGTCCTATTTAAGAGCACATTATTACAAAATAATTGTCCAATTAATTCCAATAATTAACTTACAAATGAAAGTTACAAGACTATGAGTCCTATAAATACGACATGTGTTTTTACTCAACTAAGTAGTTCCTCCACAGTCTTCTACTTTCTTACCTTACTCTATCTTCAAAATGTTTTTGGATAAAGAAGAATGTTTTGAGTTTGGTAACTTTATAGATAATACAGATCTATAGAGTGTTATTATAAAGCTATAGCATCTTGAGAATGATATACTATATATATCTTTACTGCACCGATCAATTTACACTCCACAGAGGCGTGAATTGCCTTAAAATAATTAAGTTTTTCATGCCTATTTGATGATAATTTCTTACTGATATTTTTTGATAAGTTCACTAATTATTATTTTATTTGATTTTGTGATCGAGACACAACAATGACATCATGTGGAGATGAAAAAGAATGTTTGAGGAACAATAATTTTAAGGAGATTCAATATACAAAGCAAAATGGAAACATATGCCACATTGTGTAAGCAAAATATTATTTGTTTTAGGTGCCTATATGAGGTCTTGGATCCTAATCTAATTATTGGGCCATGTTTTTATGGTAGGCTATTTATTTTTGCTTTAGTATTAATTAATGGCCACATTGTGTAAGCAAAATATTATTTGTTTTA